CCCTGTACTAATCTTATTAGCTCACCTGCATTTTAAGATATAATAATATCACTTACTTGTTTTTCATTATTAAAATGTTTTGATTTGAAAGTCAGTACAGACAGTGCTTATTCAAAAGCTGACTCATCTTTTCTCATTAAAGGTAAGTGAATGGAGAGGGAATAAATTGCCTTTCTTTTTTCTAGCAGCAAAAACAGGTTTCTGAAATCTAGGTCACATTAAAGGACTGCCTCCAATACATGTTTTAGATGTTCAATTGCCTTTTTTCTCACTGAGAAAAATCATCAATAAACTCGGGCACCAATGAATTAGTTAACAACTTGTTCATTATTGATATTCTAAATACTTTAAGTTGTAAAACTATTCTGACCTTATAAATGTCACCTTTTATCTAGCATCTCTACTCATCCATGACTGCAAATGGTAATACTTGGATTCTTGAATATCTAACACATGGGCTCTGCTTTCCAGGCCCTATAACATCCACAAGTCAGACCATTTAGTTGAGAAGTTGAGAGTTATTCCTTGATAATGTCTTTCTATTAGTTTTATGTTAACCACTTTTTTTTCTTTTTTGCAAAGCATCACTCACTCACAACACTCGATTGATTTTTTTTTCTTTTGAATTACCAACTGAGAAAGGATTTAACAGGGACGTACCAGCGGGGAAAAAAAGAAGAAGAAAAAAAGGAAAAAATACCTTTGACCTTCAGAGACTAATAAAATTGTACAATATTTCACTGGATAAAATAGCTGATAAATTCTCTTTTGGGACAACTCACCTTTTTCTTCCCTTTCTTTTTGGTTTAAAATTCTGGATTAAAGTTTTTGGATTAAAGTTTTAAGGGAATAATGTATTTTTATAAAATAATTTCACCACAATAGTATTTTCTAATGAAAGAATGAAAGTACTGTGTCAGAAAGTTATCAAACTTAACATCTGTATCTTAAATTCCCCCCCTTTTTTTTTTTTAAGATTTATTTCTTCTTTTGCTAATCAAAAGCTTTTACAATGGGGAGCTGTACAGGGTTGAGAATACATTGTATAATTTAGCACATCTTTTCTATTTCTGATTTCAGCAATACCCTGAAATATTTATGGCTTTGCCAGAACAATGAATACACAGAATTCTCCCTTTAGTTGTCATTACGCTGCTCTTCCCCAAGCAGTTCTTCCACTAGAGGAAGAAAAGGTCTATTTCTAGTTCACTAGCTGAAACACATTAATTGCATATGCATATTAAAATACAAAATGCATACTACCTCCACAGTGCAGAATTGTCCCCAGAAAGATAATATTGGAGGAAATAGTTCTCTCCTTCTGATGCTCAAAATACAAATACACACAGCAGCATGAGCTCCAGCAAACACGAGCAATAAGGTGACTCTCTGAGGCTGACCTGAGGACTTGTATTTTGAGGTTCAGTCTCTACGACTGCAATTTTAGCATCATTACCCTAATTCCCAAAACACTAAGGTTAGCCAAGGTGTGCCTACCCCTCTTAAAGTTATCCATGTATTTTGACATCTGTATTTTGACATACAGAGGGGGGTGGAAAATCATCCTGTGCTCTCAGGTCAACTTTTTCAGAGCTCTGAAGAACAGGAGTCAAAAAGCTGTACAAAATTGCATTCTTGATATGAAAATATCATTAATTGTAATAGTGTAATGTAATAATCTAGTATTAATTCTGTCATAATTTAAAATCTAGGTTGCAATGTATAAGTAAAAGGAATATGAATTTTTAACAACATTAGCTCTCCTCAAAGCAGCAAAATGGTTTGCAAAGACCGGCCACTTGCCTGCTTTGTTCCACCCACACCAACTGAACAGAAAGGTACAGCTAAGGATTCGCTGAACGCAGAATGACCCTGGCAATTCACCATAATGTACTTAGGAAAAATGAAGCCAAAGAAGTGCACAGCTTCCACATTCCAACTGGAATATGTCCATATGTCCAATATGTCCATAACATATTTCAGTTGTTAGCAACCAAAAGACAAGACTTTGTCTATGGCCTGAAAATCAAGAGCAACTTAGCATGAGATAAGGCACTAATCTGTGCTGACCATCCACAATTTCCACTGCTTTCTTTTTACAGATAATAGGAAATTAAATCCCAAAATTAGGCAGGTAAGCTTCTGCCTGGAGCATGCTCATAAATAAATGTATTTATATATGATGACTTGCAAGATCAATATCAGTGAGAACACCACAACAGGATTTTTGAGAGATGTGTTGATTTCAAGATCATTTTAGTGAACTTCGGCGTAACACCCACGTTTCAGATTTTAGCCTGACAATAGATTAAAGGATCATGATGTGAGAAAATGTTTCAAGACGCACTTCTCAGGTTCCTGCTGAGCGGAGAGGCTTTATAGCACTTAATGGGCTACTGATGACTAGAATCGTATCAACAAGAGCAAGTTGTATTTTGGGTAGAAGCAAAGTGAGAAATCAGCAAACAAGAAAAGGAAACCTGCACTGCCTTAATGCAACTTTTGAAATTTTGCTTCTATATCATGAAGTAGTCCCAAGGGCAACCATATTCTGGAAATTATCAATACCACGCAGTTTTTTAAATTGTGTAATAGAAAACACTTTCTTAACTCCTTTGAGCATGATTTTCATCATGTAGACTATTACGTGCAGCCAGCAACTACTTTTAAATGCTACAGTTCTTCACTGAGGCATTATTTATTGTTTGTATGACGAAAGTGCTTTTTTTTTTTTTAACCATCTTTCAGGAGATGCTCGTATTCTGCAAAGCAGAAAAGCCTCCCAGGATTTAGTTTAAAAATAGCTAACAGTCTTCAAGATGATGAAGAATGAACCTTTCAAGGGATGATCTTGATTATACTGTGTATTATTTTCGTATCTGCATTTCGGGATGTCCTGCGGATCTTATACAAAATGATTTTTTTCTTTTTTAAACAGAATCCTTAAGGAATTGCCAAACTGACTTCAAACAGTTAATGTCATTGCACCTATCAATCTGAAAAATGATCTACAGCACAATCACAAATTAGGCTTGCAGATTTTGAAGAATACACTGAACTTTAAGGCTCTTCACTCAGGCAGAAAGCAGTGCTATTATGCTGGAAGAGGACAGTTTGTGGCCAATTCACACATACGTCATTCTGTCCTGAATGTCAAGGATGATCTGTAACAAAGAAACCAATATTCTTTTGGAACAACCATGCACAGCCTGGACCTTAAACCTTAGACTTGGCTTCACATGTACCGTAAGTATATCAAAAAGATGCAAGATAATTTTGGTTGTGCCTTTACTTAATCTTGCATAAAGTGAATATTGAGATCACCTTTTTGAGGGAAAAAGAGAATCTTTACACTTCAAAGTAATATTCAGTATATTGTCTTTTTCTTTGAAATATGACATTTATGAACTGGCATATCCACAACAGCCCTTTTTTAGGGCAGCCCATCTGCAGGAAGATCACATGAGAAACATTTTGTGAGAATTTGGCATAGAGCACTGCAGACAGAATGCTGTTCCACAGCTACTCTGCCTTAACTGCCTTTTCTTTTTTCCCTTTTTTTTTGAGAGGGAGATAGAGAGCGAGAGCGAGAGAGAGAGAGAGAGCGCTTTAAAGCTTTAATCTCACACACAAGCTCGTCAGAGCCCAAGTCTATCTGTAATACTCTCCAGATCAGAATGAACCCAGAATGATGACGTTCAATCTTTAAATCCTGCTCTGCAAAGCTATTTTTAAACTCTCAGGTTTACAGAGGGGTCCATGCTATGCCTCTAGAGCTCTCTAATCTGAACTCTATCTATTATATTTGACACAACCACATGTTACTTTTTACTCCCAAATGCAATTGAAGTGTATTCCTTGCATGATTTCCTGGGCAGTGTGACAGAAACAACCTAATGTGACAGAGCACTTTCCATTGTCACTGGTGGAAAATCATCTCCCCCCTCTCCTGGCCACAGCTATTGTGTTTATCTGTTCTAGTCACTTTAATTTTGATTTTCTGGACCCTTCTGCACAATGTTTTATCTTCTTACTTTGTTTTCTCCTCCATACACTGTTTGATATAACAAGCAAATGATGTATAAATATTGTCAATGTATTTTTTTTAACATCTTGAAAAGTTTCTTCAACCAATGTATTTATTCAGTAATCATCTAAATGAATTCCCAAACAACCTAAATTGATTCCCAAACAATGAGTAAAGAATATGATCACTGCCAGTGATCAGTGATCACTATGATCACTGCCACCACAATCATCCTTATTACGATACTGTATTCTATATATGTTCATCCCTTCAACCTTCACTCTCTTCTGGTGCTATGAGTGATTGAGTCTAACAGTTCACATCCATTTCAAAATTAAAACAAAACCAAAAATGAAGCAATCAAACAAACAACAACAACAACAAAAACCTCTAACACTTCTCTGCTGCTGAATTGATTTAGAAGCTGTAATCAGATTTTTGAAGACTCAAAGAAACTGTCTCATTCTGACGCATCTGTCATGGCTTGGAAGAGGGATCTATGTCACTCTGAATATAGAGGTGTGGTTTAAAGTACTTGGTTTTAGAGCTAGTATTCTGAAATATTCTCATACTGAACTTACCACATGACTTTTGCTCAAAGCCCACCAAGCTCAATGGAAATATTTCTACCGATATCAATGAGTTTCAGATGTCTTTTGAGTAAGCAAACCCAAATCTCTTCACTCCTACATGATGTTTACTACTGACTTGTTCCCCCAGTGCTTAGAGCAAGGTGATCTTAAACCGAAAAAAATCCCTTGCATATTTTTTTGGAAGGCTGATGCTACTGAGTAGAATTTAAGTTACCTTTTAACATTATACCTCCATTTCTTCCTTCAGGTTTCTTAGATTAACATCTCATTTATGAACCTCAAAGTAGAGAAATTGTGCACATGACAGAAAGAGGAGAATCAAAATGAAAAGCATAATATTTGGCAAAAGTATTTATGTGTATATGAACACACATACTCACAATCCACTTCCAAAATGGCACGGACAGATTTGGCAAGGTCTTTGGCTTCTGCTGCAAGAGCTGTTGTGACAGTAGATCCAATCCTTCCAAATCGTGCAAGAAGCGCTTTAGTAGACAATGTTGTTCTTCTTTCACTGAAGAGCAGAAAATAAGGAATGTTGGATAGTAAGATCACAAAGGAAAATGTTACTTTTAATATAGTAAACTGATTTTTCTAAATTGGTTTTGATTTCATTCTACAAACAAAAGAGATTTTTATCATCAAATTGAGGAGTTCATGTTAGAGGTAATAACATATCTCATCCCTCAAAATCCAGTGTCAAAAACTTACTGCATGTCAGATAAGTAACTTGCTTGAAAGTAATCTTGATATTAGCTTTTAGGAAGTGACCTTGCTTTAGGAAACCAATTTTTATCTTCTAGTCTGTTAGGGAATCAGTTTCTGACCTTGGCTTTGTAGTTTACACTTCAATCATTTACTAAAAAATGATTATATAAAACATATAACATTGCTCTCATGCAGTGCCAAAGGGAATTGCATTTAATTGATTAGGATTAGCATGAGAGAACAGAAATAGCTACAGCGTAATAGCTGATCCTGAAGATTTTATTGAAATTAAGTTCCCACTACCTTCACTCATAGACTTGAGAGCTTTCCTGAAAAATATGGCAGCATCTAGACCAAAACCATTTTACAGGTACATAGATTATTTATGGCATACTATATGGGAGATATAGGTGACATGACATTGAAATTATAAAGTATTAAATGTTGCTCTAAATCTTGTGCAATATTCTTAAGCACCTTTTTAAAAATGAAAGATAGTAAATCTTACCTATATACATAAAAATGTGTATCTATTATCTGTTATCAGACTAATTATGATGTGAAAATCTCTTGGGCTTCTCTCCAAACTTTTTGCAAGAGGTAAAAACAGATTTCAAATCATTACAGAGTTCCTTATAATTCTACCTATGCCTCGGTATAGCATTATTCACTAATGGAAACATGGAGGTGGCCACAGCTGTGCAGTTCCAAACTGTTTTAATTTCTCTTTCCAGTGTTTAATGAAACTTCACCCTGAAAACTTAACATACTTTTCTTTCCTCTAGTAGAAGTGACATTCAGAAACACATGGTAATAAACTACAAGAAAATTAGTTACAGGATGACTTTGTGAACACTTCTAAATCTGTAGTTAAGTTTTTAAATATTAATAACTGTCATTTCATTGCAACACAGTTAAGATTTGCATACCTTAAAAGTGTCGAGGAAGCAGAGTTATCTGAGAGTATTTCATGCACAACCTGTTGGTCACAGTCAAGAAGTTAACACTTTATAAACCAATATTCTAATTTGGTGGATGGGAGGGCGAGGGTGAAAGGTGAGGAGGGGAGGATTCACATGTATTTACAACCTGCCTAGTCTCTCTCAGCCCAGGTGGGTAAAAGCATTTTGCACTCATTGTGCCATCAATAATTGCCTGTTCCAGCAATGGAATCTAAATGCATTTCTATGCTGGTAATTCTCTGTCATCATAAAATGCAAGACTGATACCTCCTCCATATCTACACAAACAGTGCACATCACAAACATTGATTTGAGCACCCAATTTTCCTGTTGACTTCAAAGACCCTTGTTATTCCATCCCCTTCATCTTTCCATTCCTCAACAATAAGAGTTCTGGTAAAAGAACGATTACAGAGCTTACAAAATGATGAAGGTTGATAAACATTTATAGTTACTGTCCTGGCTATTAGCACTTTTCAGAATTGCTGCCTCATATTTTTCAAATATTAATGTAATTGGTATTTCCAGAAAAAGACTCTGATTGGAATTATTAATCCACACACATGCAAATTCTTGGCACTGAATCTAGTCAAAGCCTGACATATCTTGAACTTGTCAAACTGTTCCATTTCAACAAAATCATTTCATCTAGAAAAAGATAAATATTTCAGACCCATTAAGTAATTATCCATAATATTTTACATAATGAATAAAATAGATTAATCCAAGTATCTTTTCATATTATATTGTGAGGAGATGCATTGAGTGGTAGGATACACTTGAACAGATTGCCCAAGGAAATTGTGAATATCCCCAAGGATGGGAACTCCACAACTTAGGTGGATAAGGTCCTGTTCTATTCGACCCTGCTTTGACCAGGACAGGTTGAACTAGATGCTTGCAAGTACTTGGTTCCGAGTTCAGCTATTCTGGGATTCTGTGTGCTAGTTTTAACATAGAAAGAAAAACTAAAAGAGTAACTTTTAAATGGAGTAGTATCAGAATTTCACAGAAATTAACATAGTTTCAAAATTTCTAATTCCATTTGTTCTGCGTATATACAAAAATGAAATAAACTCCTACATGGACTTGCCTTCGAACACTACTTTCATTTCTATCAAGTTGTTTCAAGTTGTGAAACTGTCTCCACAAAGTGTTCGTGTACAGTTTACTATGTTTAATCCTCAAAAATGTCAACATGCAACTTTTGCAAATAAAATGCTTCTAGAAATAATGGGCTAAGTTACCTCTACAAATTGCAGCAACTTTCCAGTAGCCACCTCAAAGGTCTTCCTAGCCAATTCTGATTTCCGCAGCTGGCAGTCAAGCACTGTAACTCTCTTTCTCAAGTCTTGGATATTATCCTGGGAAAGATATTTGGTCCATATTATTTTCAAGCTTTCCTTTGAATCATATTCTTGTAGGGCTGACATAGATACAAGATGGAGAATTAGAAATTAATGTCTAAAAGGTTTAATGTAACATTAAAAAAAGGTAGCTCTCCCCAAGGCAAGCATGCCTAATCTGCTAGAAAATCAGCTCCTAAATATCAGCTCCTAAATTTACTATAGTTTCCAGCTTTTGGTATTACAGTAAACAAAAATAACAAGTTAAATATATTAATGGAGCTGAAACTTAGGATAGTTTGAAGGGAAGGGATCAGGCAGTACCTGTCAGCAGGGTGGCATAAATGGCAAGTGCGCTAATAAACTCAGTCCATTAAACCAGATGGCTACATCCGCTGCCCAGTGGAGTTATTGCAGCATATCTGGGAGAAAATTACCCCCTAGGATTTCTCTACATGCACTTGTGTAACGTATTGATCAGTGTTCAGCTTCCTTTCTGTATTTCAGCTGCACAGAATGTGAGCCCCAGCTACACTGCCTCATTAGCTCGAGTGCTGGAGCCCCAACGTCTCAGCTTGTGTCCCCAGGACTGTTCCTATGTGAGGACCACGAGGAAGGTCTTCCTATGTTTCTGGGCAGGTTTGTTTGGCCAAACTGTCTGCTGAACAAAAGATTTAGGCCAAAACAGGCTCAAATTTAAGAAAATACCATGATCACTAAAAATCAAATTTACATTTAAACCTCTTAAAGCTCACCATTTAAGTAATATCTACCTCACTCTTTTAGACCAGGTGGATAGTGAAGGGAAGGGGAATCATATTTAAAAGACTGCATTGATTAAGTCCAAATTAAATCAAAATAGAGTATTGAAATTATTACTACTTTCTAAATGAAAAAATAAAAACATTGAGGTCATTTTTACGTATGTACAAAACCTACACATACACGTACAGTCTTTACAGAAGCGATATCTGCAATTTAACAGTAATTCCACGTTGGGAACATGCTTGCGACGTGTCATGTTGACCTAGGACACATATGCATCTGGCTCCTATTTTCCCAGTCAAAAGATATGTGGATAAAGAAAGGCTCGTACACTTTGCATTACCCCCTTCACTACGCATCATTCCAGTTATTGAATAATACAAGACAAACAGTGACCTACTTTAGAAAAGCAAATGAAAAGAAAATGAAAACAAGACACATGACAACAGCGAGGAAACCATGGTAACTACGACAGGCGACTGCTTTGCTTACTTTATTTTGGCCAGAATTATTAGTGAGCTGAGCCTTCAGCTCTACGATTTCAGCTTCTAACAGGCGAATTACTTCTTCATAGTCCATCTCCATTCCACGGGCCTGCCGCTGTGCAGCTTCTGCGAGATGAATCCTGCTTCGCAAGGCTCTTGCCTCTTCTACAGCTGCCTTGGCTTCCTATAAATGACAGAATTAATTGAAAAGCTGCAGCACCTGATAAAAGAACTAGAGAGAGGACGAGTACGGATTTAGTTCAAGAATATTGCAGTTGTCATTAAGGCTGCCTTTCAGAATTGATGATTAGATGATTCATTTCTTAATTTTTAAATTTACTATGTGCAGTGAAAGAACAGGTTTTTGAAAATAGAGACAATTTTCCTAACGAGTTAAATCATGAATTCCATGAGTACTGTACGTTTAACGGAATGAATTTTTTAATAGAAATGTATCTGGCACTGTTACTCTGATCACTTCTGTATTAAGAAAATATTTTTAATGATACATAATTTCATATATGATTATTACTGCCTTAATTTACACTTAAATCAGAGTCCCCATATAATTTAGATGCACTTTAGAAGGTATTCAGTCCAAATTACTCTTAAAATATGTATGAATGACGTGCCTTACACAAAAAAAATCAAAGTAAAAAGGACGATACACGCATACTTTCTGGAAGAAGCTAGTTCAACTAACTCCTGGATGATCAGCTAACACAGAATCTCACTATCCGCAGTTGTTAAGAGTGCCTGCAGTAAACTGTGTAAGAACAGGGGTCCTTATTCATGTCTTTCTCAAAGTACACAATCAATAAACTCCTACGAGCCTTAACGTTTAATTAAACTTAATGCAATAAACTGGATACGGTGACGTATGTCAAGTTCCTTCCTTTCCTTCTTAAATTTTATCAGAAAGCACTTGCTTCTTTGGGAAGAAAAATAAACAGCTTTTTTCAGCCACAACTTTTTAAATTATTTCATCACAGCTATCTACATCCAAAACTGTCCCCATTGAAAAGAAAAAAAATAGACACATGCAGACATACAGCGTGCTCTCAGGATTACTGGCACCAACACACCAAACTATTTTTCCCCTTAGTTTTCTTTTAAACTGCAGCAAAATAAATTAATAGGAATGCATTATTAAGGTTATAATCTTTAAATAAATGAATTCACAGAAGTGAAAATTCTTTGTACAAATTCCTCAGTCAAGGACAGTTAGGTGAATATTCTATTCCTGGTTTATTTATTATATTCTATTATTATAACTGTATCCTGGTTGGAAATGCAACTAGATGGAGACAGGGGCAGAACAGAAAGAGACACTGGGAATCTGTAACTAGGAAATAGCTTTCTGTAATTGGCACTGAACCCACTGTTCCTGAAAAATCCAAGTCAACCAGTTCTTCAGTCAGGTTTTCTTATACCGTAAGAAAACGTTTCTTGTAACAGGAATTATTTAAATAACTTGACATCAGAAACGTCACAAGAAAAGAATGGCTGTAACAAAACAAAGCCTTCACTTTGCAATATAACTTCCTCGAGATATAAGTCTAATATCTCATAATCCAGAATTGTCTTTACTCATGCACTGTGTTTGGAGAAACCAATTCCTGAATATTAATTTCTCTGTAACAGCAGACTAAGTATAATCAGATTGCAACAAGAAAGGACTTAAAGAAACAATTAATGAACAAGGGATTCTTATACCACAATGTAACGATTAGCCACACTAGGATTAAATTAAGAAAACCTTCTGATAAACTGGAGCTGTTTACTCCAACGGCCCAAAAGGAAATGCTATCACTAGGTTTCCCAGTCGCATTGCTACAAAAGATTGCAGTGCAGCAACTTAACAGGGTACCCAACTTGGGCTTAGCATCCACAGTGAAAAAGAGATGAACTGCAGCATCCTTCAGCAACACATCTGGCCCATTAGGTTGCTTGTAGGAGGAAGAGATGCTGCAGCTGCTAAAATTTTGCCCGTATTAATGGTTGATGGAACCATTTGGCTTAACCTGGTATGAAGCTGCTACCAGTAAGAAATTGCACTTACACTTTCTTAAAAATGGCAGCATTTGTTTGTGTTTCCCACAGAGGTTCATCCTTGAAAACACAGACATGCACCTATAGCTTTAATGCTGTTTAAAAGATATACAAGAAATTGCTATTTCAAAGAATCATAGAAGGAAACTTATTTTTAGATACTGGTATATTGTGCAGTATTGGAACACACACTCAGTGGTATAAATGAATGCAGTTCCTGTAAAGAAAAGCTCCTATATGAAGCAGACAATCAGAAATAGCACCTGTATCTGCACAACACTCACCGCGTGCCACACAAGAAGAGTGTCCCTAGGGCGTGTGACACCCTGCTCCAAACTACTCAAGATGCCAGTGTCATCCAAGGCAAATGTTAGTTTTTTTCCACCAAATGAGTCTTCCCCAAACTCTCATCTATTGAGATGCCACCCAAGGGTGGGATGATGCCCAAAGGACGGACAACACTGCTGGCCCTTCATGCAGGTGGGACAGGCTGCCACAAGAGATCTCCAAGGAGCCCAGATTCCATCAGGTCTCTAAACTCCCTCTTGCCCCTTTCCGAGTCTGATCCACTCCATGACTTGGAGATGTCATTGGGACATTGGAAAATGGTGTTGGGAATGATTGGGAAATGGCATCAAAACACCATTTCCCAAAGGGACAGCCACTGGTTTTCAGTGACTAGACTTCTTGAACTGTGGCACAGAGGTTCATATAAAAAAAGGCTGCTTTAGATGATCCTCCTGATGGCAATTCAGAACATGAGTCTACTGTGGATCCCTGACACTGGTAAAATTATAATGCAAGTATTTGCCTATTTTTTTTAAAATATACTTCCTACCACTATGGCTTTCTGTACCAATCAAAAGGAAGGTGTGAACTTCTGCCCTGAGCTACAGAAAAGTGTGTAAAATACCTGACAGTGCAAAAAGAGTAAACAGCATTAGAATTTCTATGGCAAGTCTGCTAGTACCTCCTAAAAAGGGCCTCAAAATAAAATATTGTTGAAATTACCTGTAATTTTTGACATCCCTTTCATTTCATTATCTTGATCCTTTTCAATTCCAAATAGTTAAAGCAGTTCTGAGAAAATCTTAATATTTAGCCTCTGGAAATTTATACTATTCCATGCAAAATGTGACCTTCAAAGTCACATGACAGTAATTTCCAGAAAAATAAAAGTTTGAGGGCCTCATGTGGTAGAACGTGGGTATTGCTTTCACCCAAAACAAGCTATTTACCTTAAATACCCTTTGGCTAAGTCTGCCTTACGGATAAGAGCCCACAGATAGACTGAAACATTCAGTGCTGAGGAAATGATGGCCATAAAATTTGCAGTTTAATGTTTTTGCCTTGTAAAAGCTTTAGACTCCATTGACAGACTGAACACCCCTAGCACGTGCAAACCTAAGATGAGCTCTTCTAACACACCTTCCAATTCAGTTTCAATCAAAAACCAATCTAGTTTATTTGACTGCAGTCTCACAGTATGCAGAGTGCAACACAACAATATTAACTAAGAAAGCAGTTATATTATATGGAAGGTTAAATTAAAGATGCTCAACAAATACACAGTTACAAGCAAAAATGTAAACTTAGTCCTAATGTAATGGGAGAAGAAACAGTTTTCAATCGTTGCATTTTTACTTATGACATCTGATGGAGCAGACAGCACTAACAGAAACCTACAAGGAGTGTGTGTAGGCAAGTAAGGCCAAGCAGCTCAGTAAAAGAAAACCTGCTGATAATGATATGTTGGTTAGAAGAAGTAGCAAACAGGTAAGTTACCTGGTTTTGAATACAGGCTATAAATGAAGAAGGACATAGGACAAATCTTCAAAATTATCCATTTTTGAAAAACTCCAACATACCTGCTTGACTGCTTGTAGTTCCTCTGCTAACTGTTTCTGTAAACTCACAGATTCGGACAATTCCTCCTGTCCAGAAAAGAAGGATGGGAGGGGGAACGAGAAATGATTAGGTCTGAAAGAGAGACAGTTAGTTTTTTATTCTCAGTTTTTACTTAGTAATAATAGGGCCACCACAGATAGATCCTTGTCAGTTTTGGAAATTCTGGAATGATAATCACTCAAAAAAGAAATTTTCTTGAATAATTTAGAAGTAATGAAAATTATTACCTTTAATTTACTGATTTCTTTCAAAGCTTCATTTCTTTCTTTTTTAATCCTTTCCAGGTCATCCTCCAACAAATCACAAGTCACAAACTGTGCATATTTAAATAGGAAGAGTTAGAAACCAGGGCTAACTGCACCTCTTAGTCACTTACATTATTTTTTCTTAAAAGGTGTTGTCAATAAAGCATAATCTTAATTTTAAACATACTCAAAAATATTCATTTGTAGAAATGCTTAACAATTTTTTTTTGTTAAAATTTTAACCACCTTATCTTCATAGAACAATAACATTATTGTTCCTTAGTATGGAAGTTCAAGCCACCAGGCTCCATAATTGTCTAACTCACACAGTGAGTAGCAAAACACAGCCCGCTTAAGAAATCTCAGTGATTCACTATTGTCCATACTCTTGACAATCACAAATAGTTACGTGAACTGCTTCCTTCCAAGTAGGTTGCTTCAAAAAGCTTCACAGAAACTAGGTTATCTTAAAGAAAGTTTTGATGTAGAACAGTTCTAAAAATTTGTCTCAGATGGAAATCTTAAAAAAAAAGCTTTCCAATAATCTCCTTATGACAGTTAAGCACTGTACTTTACCTGTGAATCTGAAAAACTGGCATTTTCATTGGCTCCAAATGTTGCAGGTTTTTGGTCACCATCTGTTGCATTCAATTGCAAAGAGAACAGACTCCTTGAAACCTGAACAAAATCTAAAAAAAGAGGTTAGATTGTGTTGCTGTAGTCTGTACGTTCAGTTTGGTATTAGTATCACCAAATATAATGCAACTGCTAATATCATGAAACTCTTTATAAATACAGAGCCTGTCCTTCATTAGCTTCTTAATTCTTCTACAGTTTTCTTGGATACTACTCTTAAAGCATGAACATTAAATTAGGTCATGATAAACATGAACAAAATATTCTAAATGGTCCTGGGATGAAAGTTCACTTTTAAACTGGAATCTTTAAGAGCTTAAGAACTCTTAAGAGCTTAAGAAAGTGACTAATAACAAAGCATCTTATGACATAAGAGTAAATATAGCAAGTGTTTAAAACACGAACGGCTTTCATACTTCATTTAAATGAAATCTTTCCTTAAGGACAAAGCATTTTCTTTGAAAAAAATCCTTTCACTATTAAGATGTCCTATTTGAAAGGCAAATTTAGAAATATAGAAAATTTAGAAAAAAAGATTCCTGCCTCAGAGTTACTTTTTATTGCAGTAGTTACACATAGATGTGAAGGATATTTAATAAAAAGATATGCATGAATTGGTATTACCTATCATTTTTATACTTCTATGTTGCATCATTTTCTAGGGCAATTAACAAATCATTACCTCCAAAAGACACCGTTCTGTCAGAATCCTTCTCCAGTTGCTGTCTTACGCCTTGTTGCTCTTCATCTGTGGGCTGTATCCCAAGATAATTCAATGCCTGGAAAAGGAAGACTTATTTGACTTATTTGGAGAAAAGGAAAAAAAAAAAAAAAAAAAAAGGACTAGGGATAATGACTATAGGAACATGGGTGAAGTAATTAAAAACCTCCACTTCAAAGAGCCTTTTTGTATCATAATATCCTCTCAGTGACAACACTTTTATTCCAGATACTCTTTATGACTTCCTTCTAATTGAGAGATATTCAGATATTATTTATCCCTGGATAATAATGAGTATAATGAGTGTAAAACCCTTTTTCCTTAGAAACCGCCTTAAAAATCATGGTGGACACTCAGATTCCTAGAAGATAACAGAGTTAAACACTAACTAGACCGTCAAAAACAGTTATTTGTCAAATACATAAAATGAAGCATCAGTTTGCAACCTGAAAGAACTATCCAAATAGATTTTTTTTGTTTTATGCCTTCATGCTTACTGAGCTAGAAATATTCTTCGGTTGCTTTATATGCAGCAAGGGTGGGGAAAAAAAACTCACCAAAATCAAAAGTACTTACCCTCTCCAGCTTTTCTGCTTTGAGACGAACTGTGGAGTTCAAGAAATTCTTCCTTCGCAGCCCATAATCATCAATGTGGTTGGGGGAGATAACTAAGAAGAAAAAAATATTAAATGAAATTTGAGTTTCTGGTTTTGTTTTCTAATAATCTTTTCTGAAACTTAGCTCTTGAAGAACAGAAGAAGAGGCACCATTTGGATGCCTCTGAACAGAGAGTACAGGCAAAAGTGGCAGCTAACTTGCAATTTCTTTAGCTGTTTAATGTATTACTCTTTATTTGAATGAACACATTAATTGACCACAATTTTGCACAGGAAAATGGAATATATTTTGTATATATTTTAAACATTAAGTTATTATTCATTAATGGATTAGAGTGGTGCTCAAATCAAAAACCACATTTTGAAAACTGGAAAAGTTTTAGAATCTAATGGAACAGAAGAGGTTTTTTTTTTTTTTTTTTTAATTTCACAGAGTATCTGTTTCCAAGCTCAAAGTAATTTACATTCTCTTTCTATGCCAAAGCATAAACGAAAACATCTTGAAAATCTCTGACACTAACACCTCTCACAAGCTATATTAAATTCTGAAGACAGTGGGCTAGGACATCCAGTGAATTGGCACATTTCCTTTCATCTCAGAACGAAAAAGCTCTCTGCAAGAATTTCTGCAAGAATTTCTCAAGATTATGCTCATTTTTCTTACAGAATTTTTTAAAATTCCAGAGCTCCTTGAATTTTTCAGGGTTCTTCTTGAAAAGGGGCAGTAAGAAATAACAGCTTTGACTAAGGATGTGCTATGTGAAAAGATTAAGTAAGACTAAAGTGAAAAAGTGACAGAAAACAGTACACTGGAGCTGTTAAGAATTTCCACTTCCCGTTCTAGTAGTGATTTCTGCAGTCATTATTTCTGTGTTATTCAGAGATGTTAATAAACTGGGTCTTTGTTGAGCTCTCTTAAGCAACTGCGACCCTTCCATGTATTGTATAACACTAATCAAGAGTCTGATAATCTGAACATATTCTGCTTTATACCTCTGACTTAGTTGTATTGTGGTTTTTGTGATTAGTAATCAAACAGCTTTCTCATCATAAACTAAAGCTTTAATAAATCTTACAGTCTCTCTGGTTTCAAAAGTTCATATGCAATAACAGGGAGCAAACTGATCAGGTTTTTAATATGGAGATTGTTTCACTTAGAACTAGGATATCTAATATGGGTCATAATAATCCCAGGTACAACAATGGCAGTATAGGAACCTCTAGAATGAATCAGACTTGATATATTAGTCCTCTCCTTTCTTAGGTATGTACAGATCAACTGGAGGGGCAGGTATTATGCTATTGCTATGGATATACCATCTATACTATTGTCAGAAGAACATAGTTCAGGTCTTCACGTAGAAAAACCCACAAGGCTACACTTATCAAATTAAACAGTCTGATCATGTCAGACTGCTGATTTTTTTCCCTTTTACTTTTTTCCTTTTTTAAAAATCAAAATATGTATTTTAAAATATGATCAAAATAAATATTGTCTTTGTTTGAACACCACAGTCCCTTATACATTCAGGAAACTCCACTCTAGAGTTCTACTTGTTAAAAACTAGAAAACAAAACAAAACATTAAAGAAGTTTGCATGTATTTCTATCCTTTCAATATGCTTCAGGGATTTTTTTTAAGGTGCAGACCGTACACATCCGCAGAATTTCAACATATCATGGAAGAATAGTTTCTATGGCAACCTAATCTTGATCTACATATAAGTCTTCATTATCTGATTTCAACTGAGCCTATTGCAATTACCATCATATAACAACTGATAACATTTAGTTACTAAAGACCAAGTCTGCTGCAAATTAAATAGATTGACCTTTTTTTCAAATAAAACTTAGGGTTTTTATGTGATACTAAAAAAAGAAAACAAAAAGGCCCAATATTTCTTTCTTTAAAGTCTATGGACTAAGTTATATTTTCTATAGGACAGTTATCAAAGGAAAAAAAAGAATTAAATTGGAAGTTACCAGAGGCAGGCACATCAGTAGGGCTGCTGTCTACGGTTCCAATTGGAGATAGCTCTCTCTTCTTGATTCCAGTTTCCATCTGAGGGGGATGGAGTGGGGAAAAAGAAAAAAAGCATCAAGTCACAAAATGCTATTTCCTGTAATAAGTGAAAAATAAAACAAAATAAAACAAGCACAAATGAATTGGAAGTGCATATTAACCTCCAAAAGAGGGAGAAGAAGGAAGGCAGGCAGGAGAAGCAAAGGAGTGGCCAGGTTAAAACAATCCTGGCAGAAGGGCTGCACAAGGTGAGGGCAGTGAGAAAGGCCATTAAAGAAAAAAAGAAGAAAAGAAGTCAAAAGTATCTGTTCAAATCCACTGCACCTACAAACAGGAATTTGCTTGTTTCATGTTCAAGGAATCACTCATGAAAGTAAGTGGTCCAGCCCATACACAATTGCAAGCACACTCAACACAGTGCCAATTTAGATCAAGGACTTGTAGAGCTGAGCGAGTTTTGAATATTTTCACAGATGGAGAATGAATATTTTCACAGAGGAGTCTCTATGGGCAACCTGTTTTTATGTTTATATTTCTGGTAAGAAGGAACAAATGGGAAAGAGTTTCAAATATAAATATAAGAACAGTTGAGAATCGCCTCTTTTGACTTCATACTTAATAGGAAACATTTTATTCTTCTTTGTTCAAAAAAATTTAGTGTTAAAAAAAGCTATAAAGCGGAAAGATCTTTGAAAAAAATCAAAATGGAGTAATTCTAAAATGTTCTTTCTTGCTGAAAGTTCAACACTGCTTTCTACAGCAAGGGTGAACTGTTTGAATTAAAATAATGAATGGATTCTGGTTTTTAATCAAAAATCTCATTACCATGGAGGAGGTGTAACTTGTGAGATCTCTACTCACACATACATAGTAAGTAAAGATTCCCTATCTTTGAAATATACAATTGACTAAATAGAAAATACGTCCTTCTTAACCTTTACTGCCTAGGAAACAGCAAAGAAAACCTTTGCATTTAAGAATTCAGTTAATGCTTCCTTCGGTTGATTTGTTTTCTCATCACAGGTCAACTAGTATTCTTATTCTGCTCATCAGTTTGGCTTATTCTACTGTTACACAGCATGGCATCTGGAAGAGCCCTGATATTCCAAAGCACGAATATTTTGCAGGAAAGGGGTCAGTCATTTTTCCTACTTGAATGGAAACTAAATTAAAAGAATCCTATACTGAAATCTGAGCAGAATTCAGAAAACAACTATTTGCTCAGTACTACCAGGTGTTGTAAGTCTACTCACAGCATTAGTGGTGAACCTCGAAACAAGCTTCCCATTAGGAGATGCCAGGGGACTCACTACTGCAGCCTGTTGCTCTCCATAAACTACAGAAGATGATGTTGAGAGACTGGATGGTCGCTGCAGTTCCTCTGAATAACTTTCATTTTGTCTAATGAAAGCTATCTCCCAAAAACTTTCAAATCTAAAATGAAAACAAGACAACGTACATACATCATTCATAACATGATACACTCTTTTTGCAAAAAAAAAAAAACCCAAACATTATGTATGATAATGTTTTTTAAAGGACATTCTATGTCCTATCACTAGCACAAACATATAGTATATTTTTCATTTCTTTTAAAAGGGAAGTTTCCCATAATTATACAGGGATAAATGGTACATTTTATCCTTTTTATAAGAAACAGTGTCATAACAGTGCCTGTGTATTTCAGAAACAGGAATATACCTTTTCTTTTCTCTAATCACACATGGCAAAACGTTTTACATTTTTCTGAATACAAGTATCACACACAACCATTTTGGAGATTTAGAAGCTGACAAATACAATTACCTCGTACTTGTTCTGTTGATTATACTTTTTGCCTCTTCATAGGAAACACCAATCATTGACTCTTTGTTTATGGATACGAGCTGATCTCCAGGCTTCAATCGTCCGTCCTAATCCATAACAAACCAAAATCAAACATTTTTTCCACACATTTTTCCATCAACTGATAATGTTACAGGAAGAATTGTCTAAGTACAGCACTTTAATCACATCTGTCTGTTAAGAATTGCCATATTTTTCTAATGTAATGCATTAATTACATATTTGATTCTAAGAAATCAAACACAAAAATGGTCTATAGATATGAAACAAACTTTGTGCAAAAAATAATTTTTAGGAAACACAAAAATTAAGCTGGGCTAGAAGGATTTATATCAATACACACATGCGTTAAAGTTTATCTGCTTGATATCTGCTATGACAGAGCTCTACTAAATTTCTTCTTAGTGTTTTCTTCCTGGTAACAAAGTCCTGCATCCGCTATTCTGATCACAGCCAGCCTATCAAAAGATGTGAACTTCAATGCTGCCCTCCTGTGGCATATACTTAAAATATATTTCCTATCTAGGTTTATCAAACATTGGGATAGTCAAGGTGGGGCAATTCTCTCTAATATTGCTACTATTAGAATCTACTGCAGATTAATGATTCTAATTCCATTAATAAAAAATGGAATAGACTTCAAATCAGATATTGATGACAAAAAAAAGTCTTAAAGGCCACCATAAAACAGGACAAAAGAATTACTGTTTCTTGATTAAAAGAAATTTTGAAAAAAACACTGCCTTTTTTTTTTTTTCCTATCATTGCATTTCACAATTAACCTTAATCAAGAAAATCTGGGTCAGAAATAGCTATAGATGAAGTTTTGTAGCAAAATCATTCCTGGTGATATTAGTATGTATTTGGTAAGAAAACACAAGCATCTATCCATCAAAATAACCATAATAACACAGGATGCAAAAGGGCACACTTGGAAAACCAGTTCTGTGTGCTTGAAACAGATGAAAGAGCACTCTGCCTATTATTATTATTATTAACTTGCAAATCGTCATGGTTTATGTATTGCAATTGTTAGAAACAAAAGCAGCAATCAGTACTGATTGACACCTTTTATTGCCCAGACCACCAGAAATTCTTATTATTCTAATCTCACCTAGTGATGCTTTCTAACTGCAAGGAAAACAACCATTTGAATATCCAAGATTAAAAAAGCAGAGATGCATCCACAGCTCTGTCCCATTCCTGATGATTTAACTTGAATCAATTAACCTCTTAAAGAAAATTCATATATTTCTCCTGTGTAAATCGGGGAACAAGATAGTGGTTAACCTTACTCTTGAGTTCATAAATAATTCTGTATCATGCCCTGGTTGCACGGTCATGAGATACTTCTGCTTAGGGTTCTCAAAACTGTATATTTACAGCAATAAAATTGGAAATGTATAAATTTATAATATGAAATAATGTTCAAAATCAAAGGGAAAATTCAGGGGACTGAAGACCATATAATAAACAAATAAATGAAAAAAGTTCTTTAGATTTTCTACCTTATGACAGTCACCACCAGGGATAACTTCTTGAACATAAACCAAAGGACCTTCATTTCTGTTAATTCCTCCTACAATATTCAAACCTAGGCTTGTTCCTTTACAAACAGAGATAATCTGAAACACACTATCCCTAGGAAAAGAAAGAAAAAAAGAACAGAATTACTCAAGATAGATACTCAATTAAGAGTCACAACTGTTATAACCTTTATCTTGTTGATTTCATAAATATGTATTATAGCAATCAAACTGAAGCAGCAGACATTTAATCCAAATGTTCAAGCACTACAGTGTCTACTAACTACAAAATCAGCAACTTCAGTTATTACTTTTGGCAACTCTAACTTAAAATTAAATAACCAATATATTATTTCACAAGACTAAACTCTGTATTATAGATAGGCTTACGGGAGGATCTGTGTACATATAAACCAGGGGCATTATCTGTTAGGACACGCTATGACCAAGACAATTCAATTAATCTACTTTTAATCTGAAAACAATAAATACATGGGAAAATGAGGAGAAAAATAACTAGTTAAGACTGAAAGCATTTATAATATTAGTAGTATTATCAGTCACATGATCAAAAATAAAAATGGAGCATTTCAGTGCTTAATGCAGTATTTTTCCAAGCAACCAAGTACAGCAATTTCTACAGTTTAAACAACAGAGTTTTCAGTCATTTCAGAAGTTACTTTGCCAGCTTTGGGGATGGTGCTAGGACAGAATCATTTCTGCTGTTTGTGACAGCAATATCCTTTGGATGCAACTGAGGACTCTGTGACCTTGAGGATGACCCAGAAGAAAGGCTGTCCATAGGTTTTGCTAAAAGGAGAGAAAAAAGAAAGGGAAATAAAACACATGTTTGCACACATTTGTTTCAATTCATGTAAGTAATTCCACTGGATTACTTTCATATAAGAAAGCACAGGCACACAGAAACAAGCATCTAAAAAAAGATCCTATACAGCTAAGAATTGTGAGGCACGCAGGGTTTCAAAAGCACATTTTTTAAAACCTGGCAAGTGACGATTTTTTTTTGTCCAGTTTGGAAACAAACAAACAAGCAAAACCCCCAAAATATTTTGAGTCTCTTTCCTGAAGGATAATTGTACAAACTGTATGAAGATATTCTACCTACCATTCTACCTCTGACTGGTCCAACACACCTTCCCCCAAATGAAAACTGTTTTAAGTACTATATATCCTACTCCACAGAAGGATCAATATAGTCCTATGAGAAGCACAATAATATCGTTACCTGCCAATAGTTGTGTTGGAGAACTTCTTGCAGAGTCAGTGTTACTATGAGAGCCATACTTGTCCATCAGATGATGGAACTCCTTTCTGTGGTAATAAAAAGATTCTTTGACAATTTGACAGAAGAAGCAGCTATAGACTATGAATAAAATGGAATATTGGTAAAAAGGTTTAATTATCTCTTTATCTTTTAGAATTTTTCAGTCTGAGTTATAATCACCTCTGTAGTAAAAGGGTTCTTTTTATTCTTTTAAGAAGAAACCAAATTATCTAGAATGATGTACACCAGAAACATCAGCAATTTAATCTTACAGAGTTAGAGAAGAGAAATTAATTGATTGCAATTCTCAATAATTCTTGTGACTACAAAGGGTTATTGAAATCTCAGTTTAATACATTATTTAAAAATAAAATAATAAAATTTCCTGATGCAATGCTAGAAATAGACAGTGCTACACTGTACAACTGATGGATTTGAAATATTCAAGGAGGTTAGAAGAACTAGGTCATCATGCTCTAGATAAAAGCGGATTAAGAGAGGACCTCATATCTATACTGTCTGGTAAAAAAGGAGAGAACAGAGGCTATAGAGTCATTGAGATGTCTGGGAAGTACAAAAATAAAGGGGCAGAGAGACAAGCTTAAGGCACATGGAGGGTTAAAGGAGTTTAGAGAAATGTCCTTTATGAAAAGATTACTTAGAACATTGTAGGAAAAGCAAATAGCAGCAGGTATCCTTCCAAAAATTATCCAGTATAGTTGCATAAATGTTTAGAGGAAACAGCTGCTACCTCCAAAGCAAGTACAGACCTGGATGGACTTCCTGGCTTCTTTCCATCCTAATATGCCCCACAATTCTATGTTAATATTGGTTTATAAGCTTAACTTCAGATAACGAGATTAAAGCAATATTTTAGTATAAATGTCCTCATAATAGAGGAATTTTGAACTACCTGCCACCCTGAACAGTTTAACCTACTTATCCAGACTAATTCAGAAGTCATTAGAGACTGAAAAGTGAGCTTTGTTGAGGGAGGAGGAGGAGGAGAGAATCATATTTGCCTTTTCTAGCTAGTAAGACCTGCTTAAATCGTAGCTTCGTACTCCTAGGGGGTCAAATATTAGTTTTATTAGTTCTTCTTACATTTTAAAATAATGAAAAGCAACATATTATTATCACAGCAAATAGCTTTTAATGTTTTTAGCAGGTAGCATAAGGTTTCAGTCATTTCAAGAATGAAAGTGGAGCTTACCACTTTAACTGCTGTGAAAAGCGTAATTAAACTAAACAGAACAGCTCATTTCTCATTGCCCACTACACTAATAAAGAGAGAAATATAAAATATAATATAATATAAAGCAAGGTGTGACATCTGGTGCAATTCCACAACTAATTCTTAATCTGGAAGAAATCTACACACAATTCCCCTCTCTGCCTTAGATATAGCATTGAATTTTATCAGTTTTAAGGTAGAATGTTCTGAAAACAATGTTTTATTTTTCTCTTACTTTGCTTCTTCATCTCTAGCAACCAGCAGAGACATATGATTGGATGCTGATGCTGTTCGCAAGATGTCCACAGCCCTAAAAGGAGGAAAAACCAACAAAGTACATATATACACTAGTGTTATGTCATGAATTATACCCTGAGTAGCAGTAAAACAGTAGGAAACCAAATGATTATTAAAGCAGATAATAGTTTTCACTGGCAGACAGAGAGAAGAGAGCTTGTCAACAGCATAACCCACATTGAGCACTGGAGAAGGGAGTGACAGACAGGCTCTGCAGTGACCCTGTGTTTGATGACAGGAGCAAACTGGAACTGCCATCTCTTTCCCTTCCTTTTTATCCACATCTCTTCCAGGATCCCAGATTTCACAGACAAGGAGCCGTCTAGACCAGGGTATTTAGGTATCCTCATTGCCTAGGATTTCCCTTAGCAATGCACACTGCAATTTTTGTTTGCATCTCACTCAACCCTGTAAGGCTTTGTATCGATCCCTAACGACCCAGCTACAGAAAACACCCAACATACTCTATAAAATATATTCTACTTCTCCTTAATTGCTTCATTACAAACAATTGATCTTTGTTAGCTGTATCATTTACTTTCATGCAATATATGAAAGCAATAGATAATTACTAAGCAATGCATAATTACTAAAATATTAACATTATAACAGATCAATATTTTAGCGCTATTTTCAAATACATTCTATCATATACAGCTTTAAGAATTGGGCTATTTTGTCATTATCCAGGCATGTAAATTTCATCTTCCATGACAGCTTTGTGGAATTGGACTTACAGGATACCTTCATTCCCGGTAAAACTAACTCCAAGGACCACTGTGGAGTTCTCTTTTAATCACTGGTCAATGTGATTCAAAATACATTACAGCCTAAAACATATAGTATTCCATACCCTAATATATATCTAGTCATTTGGGTAAACCTACCTTTCATTGGTTACTCCAATTAAGTTTTCTCCATTGACATCTAAAATGAGGTCTCCAGTAAGCAAACGGCCTTGTAATGAAATTAAGAGCAGTTTATGAATTAACAGGAAAATGGGAACATCTAGTACATATACATATATTATAGCACTATAACAAAGCAGAGCTTTTCCTTTCAGTTTGCAGTAAACATATCATGACTTTTAGCACCAGAGGCTCTGATCCTAATTTAACTATAATATTGTGAGGGCTATCAGTATCACTAATCCCAGAATAGCCACTAATGGTATTTAGCTATTCTTTATTATTTACACATAACATGTAGGTATTTGCCAGACTGGAATTAATACTTTATTCAACTCAATTCCAGTTGTAGAATTTAATTTCAGCTGTAATTTAGAGTCGATTTATGATACGACTTATAGTGTATAAAAATACTACTGTTTTATACATTCCAGAAAGCCATTTATAAGATTATTTTTGAAGCACTTCTATATTTTAACTTTTTCCAAATGTAATGTTTAGGAATTTACTAGTAGTAAGTAGCCCATGCTATTTTAAGTGTGTTCATACACAAAGTAAAATGAAGGTGTTCAATCCTAGGAGCTTTTAGTATAAAGCAAGTTTGTAACAAATTTTAAGAACAATTACTGACTATCTACAGCAGCAATCCCTCCAGGCAGGATTCTCTTAATGAAGATGCCATAATCTTCAGCTGTTTGTGCCCGATAACCTCCAATAATTTTAACTCCTGCAAAACAAATGGAAAATAAGCAGGTGGTTGTTTATTCCATCTACTGAGCTACATGGTTTCACAATCAAATTCAAAGATGGATAAACTGAATTTCTGCTATTGTCAGTGTGAAGTGGGAAAGCTCACCAGATACTTTTAGACCCACTTTAGTCTTAATAAAGAAAATGTGCAATTTAATTACCTAATCCATCCTGGCAATCAGAAAAAGAAATGCGGTGAACAGCTCGATTGATTCCATGAGGGCCCATAATAGTCCTAAGAAATAAAAATAATCATATTTGTAATTATAGAAATACATACAGTGTTATGCTAACACAGAAAAAAAAATTACAGGGACATATAACACACACAACTGTAATACAAATGAAAAGCAGTTTTTCTTGCCTGACAAGCATCTATATATGGGATACATGATAAAAAAGTAAATCTGCACACAATAAAAATGAGATAGGAAGGTAAAATGAGGTACACATAGTTTTGTCCCTTTTCCCTACAGCATTTCAGCCACATTGTGAACGATAAATTTACAATTCCATCAGAAATATCCCCAGCATACTGTGCTGTGATTACAAAGTGCTGTGAATCCCTATAAATCCAGATTAGTCCTTCACCATTTTGTATTTTCATTCAGATGCACTATTATTAAAAAAAAAAAAAAAAAAAAAAAAAAAAAAAAGTTATAGCATATATCCCCTGCCCTTCCATAGGCCAGGTTTGCACCTGATCCATGGCAGGAAAAAGCAGATGCTCTGCTAATTTTTTTCTGCTTTGACCTACATATATTGTTCTCTATTAGGTACTGGCTTGAATTTTCTCGAGCATGATGCTGAAGTGAAATGGAACAACTACAATTCATTAACAGGGGGGAAAAAAAAAGAAGATCAAACTGGAGGACATAGTGACCTAAATCCTTTCACACAACCAAATCCAGCACACAGCTTGAACTCCAAGCCTGCAGCTGGTTATTTCTGCAAAAGCTGGAATAAATGTACTTGTAAGGAGAGAGGAAAGACAGAAATCCAAAAGGTCCATATGTTCCTAAATTCCAGCACCAAGCAAGAGATGCAACTCCTACAGAACATTCCAAATTCCTTCAGTTTTGTAACACAAATCAGATTAGATCCTTGCATTTGCTCTGAAAACAAATTATTCATTCCACTATTTCCAATTTCCAGGGATTTGCAAAATTAGCCTTTTATTTTAAGAAAAAGCCAAAAGAATGGATCTAATAATTCATCTTTAAAAACAAAAAAGAAACCCATGCTTCAAATGCTGTAGAATTCTCACAGCAGTATTTTGTAGGCCAAAAAGAAATGACAAAACCTACTTAGTACATTGTGGCACTGTGGAGATTGTTAATTACCTTCCTATGCAAGGTAATGACTGCGTGACATAAGATTTACTTAATGCTAAAAGCAGTATCAGTAGTATAAAAAATGCCATGCTTGCAGATGGTTTCAAGTGTCAGACATTTCTTTATACATTGCAATCATCAATATTGCAAATAATTTCTATTCACTTATTAATATGGAAACCTTTCAATAATAATAGGGATCTCAACTTAACTGGATTTTCCTTAAGTAACTATTTCTAGCACATCATGACTATGCTAGTTCAGCAAGAACTTTCTACTTTCTCCTGATCTTTCGATGCTGATATTAGTGAAGTCTGAATAGTTTGTAGTCCTGAGTAGCTGTTATCTGGGGAATCTCAGTTTATGAATATCACAGTTATATGGAAATATTTAATACTGTTACCAATAGTTTAACCATAACTTTTTAAAATTAGTAAATAAAAGTAAGAACAAAGAATTTTCAAACACCAAAATTAGTTTAGGATATCGCATTTTGCTGCTTTTTCAGTATTCTTCTATATCACTTACGAGATGGATCCTCAAGACACACTACTTGCTATCGCATTAAAATAAGGTGTTTTATCGATTTCACTATGTAATTACTTGGATTTAGCTCCATCCCAACACACATTACCGAATAATGCTAATCTGAATTGTTGGCTATTTCCCCAAAATATAAGGAATGTGCTCAGCAACATAACTAAGGAAACCGGAACATAAAACAATTGGCAGTGGTAACAAAACCAATTTCAGTGCTCTTTGTAGAAAAAGACATAAAAAATAAATGAGGTATCACTGCTCATTCCTACAGATGTCATATTTGGAAACAAACTTCTAGTACACAGAAAAAGAAAAAAAAAGTTAGAAAAGTGATTTAAAAGGAATAGGGTTACACAACATGTGTGCTCTGACTTTGTTACACTGAAATTACGCAAACAACACTAAAAGCATTTCAGCTGAAGTCCTGAAACAGCAATAGAGCAAGTACACATTTTTGTGTAGGGCACCTAGCAAAGACAGTTAAAATTAAATCTTTAACATTTTTTTTTAAACAACCTATATATTTAGGTTCAGCAGCTTTTTCTGTTTTAGGCTTTCTAGACACTCGTAAGAACTGATCTGCAGTCCTCCGAAACTAGTGGTCATTTTTCCATGAACAAAATAATTGCATTTAACACTAGAAGAACACCCTCCCATCACAAAATAAATATCATTTGACACTTCCACAATCACCTACATGAGGAATGGCAGCTTACAAAAAGAAGGAAAAAGTCTCTAAATGGCTACAGCTTTAAAAATATCTTTACTGTATTTTTTCCAATTACAGTCTGGGGAAAATCCATCAAAACCTAACTGCTCAGCATACCAGTACAAGAGAGAGAGACCGTCAAAACGCTCTGGTTCATCTTCATCTCCTGGTGAGAGCAAGGACATTCTTCAGTACAGCAGAAAGCAAAAAAAAATAAAATCCCAAATGATCCAAAGTTGGAGGTTTTCAGTTCAACAGCACAGAGGTTAGATGCAGAATAATTTTGCTACAAACTAAAACACAAACAGAGCCCAAGACGAGTGTCTCTGCCTACTTAATCTTCTCTGAAGCCCTCTGCATCACGTGGACTAACTCACCTATCATGGCAGCGCTTCCTTTTCCCTCCCTTTTAAATGGCAATTTGTAGCCACTCAAGAGAAATTTCACTTGCATTTATGACAAATGTGATTATGCAATCTATGTCTAGCAGCAGCCAAAGCAAGTAAAGTAATTAAAACATTTACTGTTCCCTCTAAGCACGGTCCAAAGCAGTAAATGATGATCTCTCTAAAGCAATCTTCCTAATAGATTGGATTAGAAACATCCACACACAAAAGGAAAAGCCAACAAAGTAGACAGAGCAAAAGCATCACTTCCCATTCCCAATCATGATACTGGCTTAACATGGTGTTCTAATTTGGCTGTACTGTTTTAATATGTAACAGTGAAAACTTAACACAGAACTTGGTTTACTTATATCCTGTAAAAACAGAAGTAGACACATATGTTTTCTTGTGAAGTCTAATAAATAAGACAATAGACTTCTTGTGAAGTCTAAATAATAAATAATGGTGCAATGTAGCTTTGCAGGGCCTGTTTAATTCCGATTACCCAGTGGGATATCAGCAAAGCACCTAGAGGAAATGAATTCTTCTGAACAGGTATGTGCACTCTTATTACCCTTTCCTCTAGGTAAAAGATCTTTTAAAAATCACTGAAATAAGACCCAAAGATGCAGTATTTCCCTCAGGTCCTTGTTTAGCAGAAGGATGAAACCTCTCCAAAGCTGAATGACCTCATGATGAGACGACATCTGCCAGCGTCTGGAGCTGCACAGCAGGACCTCCTGCTTGTGCCATGGATGCACACGCTGCTTTTCCTAAACTTGTAGTGCTTGTGGCTCGATTAGCAAGTAATTCTTTCGGAGGAAGGATTTTTGATCTTTTTGATTACAAACGGTGTAATCTGTGTTCACACATGCACTGAGGTCAGTCCCTAGACAGGAAAAGCCTGCAGGCTAAATACAGAGTCACACAGAAAGGGCTACTACAGATTAAGGAGCAGATCCATGATGGAAGTGGGAGCACAAATCAAGTCTTGGGATTGCCACAACGTGAGCAGCTTCACTGGAGTCCTGTGCATTGCTCACGGATATTCACTGAGCGAAGTTTTGCCCTTTATACTTTTATCTAAATCAATTTAACTCTGTCAGCATTACTAATACTTGAGCCCAAGAAAAGCCCTTGATATTTTAAGCACAGTATCAATCACATGTACTCAAAGCAAGTTATCTAAGATGCTGAATAAAATACCAGTGCTGCCCTTTCTACAGCAAAATTTTCACTGCTTTTAGTATCAATAGAGTTCAATTTATTACATCAGTATCAGGCAAGCTTGTCAAAAACAACTCACCCTCTGGATTTCTATCCCCCTTTACCACAAAATCCTGCTGCAGCTTTTGGTGTTTTTGAGAAGGCATTATGATTACTGAAGCATCAATGCTTCTCTTGCCTGTTCTCTGTCTTTCAAGAGCAAACTTCGTAGAACACTAATTACAAGGAGCAAACAATGAAGCAAGCCTTTTAAAACCCATGAAATATAGCATCAGCAAGCAAAGCCAAATTTTCAAGAGGTATTTTTCACTACTTTGTGGGTCAAGCAGACTCAGATTCTTGTTCAAACAGCCAGTAAGTTAGTGTCTTCTGGCATCATTATTCATTATGACTCACCTTCCCCCAAGGAAATTTTGTAATGATTTAGTGACCGGATAGAAAGATTTGCCTAATCTGCCATCTGCTGAATTATCCTACAAATCTTGGTATCAAGACTTACCGGATCTGTTCGTTAGAAATTAAAAAGGCCTTTGTAAAAATCCAATAAAAGAGTGTTATGCAACTGTAGCCTTCCAGGTTCACAGGCCTTAAAGGCTGAATATTCATTAAGACATTGAGGACCACATTTAAGAGAACACCTTATTATGCAGTACCAGCAGACACTTCCTTCAGATCTTGTCAAACCCACTAATTATTCAAAATACATTTTGCTGATCAGGTCATTATAAAGATTAAATGAAATCATATGTCATTACACAGCACAATGTTAAACATGCAAGAGAAAAAGCATGAGCCACATTGTAATTGTGGAGAAATATGAACGGTCTGGGGCTACTCCCTTGTGTGGAGAAAAATACACTAATTAATGTTTAGGTAAAGCTCAATTAACATCTAACCAAATACATTCTTGAACCATTGCACATTGGGACCTTGTCTCCCAGAAGGAAAAAAAATATTAAATGTAGAAAAATGACAGTCTTGCATCATCATCATGCAGCCACCATGTGTAAAGCTATGTGCGTGTTATTTGGGTTAATTTTTATTTTAAAAAATGTCTATGGAGTGATCTAGTAACAATACAACATACCCGCAGGTAAACCTTGTAAATCATTGTTGTTTTAAAGATGGAATAATACAGTCTGATTTTTCCTGGTTATTTAGCAACATGGGAGGAGTTTGGAATTAAGATTTTTCAGTTGCAATTGAATTTGAGTTTGACATTTGGAATTTAGAAGTGGATACCATTACAGTTTATAAAATTAATATAATAAACACTATACCACTATAATTCACAAAGGATTGACCAAAAAGGTAAACAGTTCAAAAGCACCAGATATAAACACTAGAGACATGCAGACCTATTCTTCTGAAAAACATATAATACATACATTATAATACATAAACTCACTGCTGCATGGTATATAACCGTAGTTACCTCACATACATAGGAAAATAGTTTGTCATAGTACTTGCAAGTGCATTTACATAGTTTGGGAAGCATTAAGGAACTTTTATGAGGGGTATTATCGGTGGAGAACCAGTTTTACCTAGTGCTGACTAACTTAATGAAAAGTTTCATGGCTATTTCTTTCCTTTATGTGTAAATTTGATAGTGTTAATATTAGCCTTTGTGAGGGACTGCTTCAGCCTGTTCCAGTGCCGTAACTTTCTTAACAAATCATCCAAACCAGATCCTATGAATGAAAGTAGAATAATCTTCATACGACAGTGAAATAATCGTTATAGTGTTGTCTGAGAGGAAAATACTTACTTTTTAACTGGACTGGTTAGGGCCTCTGCACAGGACATCTTCTTAGGTGCACTATGCGAATAAAAGCTCAGAATGGAGAATTCCGAAACACAAAGCACTAGCTCATAACCAAGATAACTGTTGTAAAAAAAAAAAAAAAAAGGAGAAAATATTTTTTGAGATTTAAATGGCTGTGTTTATTTTCAGACACTGACAATTCCTATTTAATACTGACTAGCTGAAGATCTGTGAGGAAAGAACTTAGGTGGAAATCCACACACTTCACTGCTGAAACCCCAAACAGCTAACAACTCAGACTGACTGGGTTGCACCAGAATATCTGGCATCCTCGTTTTCTCTTAAACTATGAGTTTGTAAACAGGAGTAAACTCAAAACCCCTGGGGTTTAAATATTCTGAAATATCTACTAATTTGGATTATTTTAACAGAGGGAACTTGTATTTTGTACAAAAGACAAAATAATGAGCTTTGATTTACTTCTAACAAAGGTTACTGCAGAGGGAACTTTGTTATGAATAAACTGTGGTGCCTTATTTCTTGTCTTTGCTTTCACTTTTTTTTCTTTTAAACTCTAAGTCTATATTCGGCACCAGATACACTTCTGAATTCTTAAGTTTGTTAAGGCCTAGACCAAAAGCTACCTATTACTAAATACTAAATAGCTAACTATTACTAAAATGTGTTATCTATACTAAAAATATACAAAAGCAGCAATTACGACTGTATCATTATAACAAACCCATAAGAAACACAACATCTGGCCTAAACGAAAGGTACCTATGCAGGAAGAATCTATTTTAACCAGCAGCAAGTCCCACTGAGTCCGAGCCGCATGGTTAAACTCTCAAACAGCCAAGAACCGGGAACCGCTCCAGGTGCCCCATGGGCAGGACAGAGCCACGGGAGCTCTCGCTACCCGTGACAAAACGGGGCTAAGCCGGACTCAGGCTGCGCCGGCTGTTTCGGGTGAGCGGCATCAGCCTCCACAACCTCCCGCTGAGCGACTGATGCAGGCTGAACTTCAGCTAGACGGCCTGGCAAACGCATTCTGGAAGAATACGGGGTTTTTTTAGCAGCAGCTTAGAGTGGATGTTTTCAGATCTCCTGCTAAGGGGTCAGACAGAATGCAATGCAGGGAGGGAAGCCTGCCCTGCTGCTTCGCTCCAGGCTTCGTCGTTTCACCTGTTCAACCCATCTGGGTGAAAAATGAAGCCGAGCTGGGGCTGCTCAAGTCACAGTGTGGCTCAAATTACCAGGAACAGAAAAGGGGGAAAGCGAAGCCCTAAAGCAGTAACCTCAGCACTGCTGCTGCCAAGCCTGTACAGAGCAGCACACCAGAAACGCTTTGTCTGTGAACTCCCCTGTATTCACCTCTCCTGAAATAAGTAACTGCTGTCTAAGAACTGCTTGGAACTGCTTCGCAGCACAGCAGTATTTTACATCTAAGCAGAACCAAAGGATCAATGAGATGAAGCTCAACATTAGCCAGGGCACTGCACGGGGGGAAGGGGAAAAGAGAAGCAGCAAAGACTGGGACAGTATCCCTGAAACAGATGGGCAGGAATAGACAGGAAGAAAAAGAGTGGAAATCGCTCGGTTTTTGAAAACCAGCGGTATCAGGGTACGATGTCTAAATGAAAGAAGCGTCTAAGTGAAGGACGGTACTAAAATACCAGGACCGCATGCATGCAGAAAGGCACAAAACAAACAAAAAAGTAGGCAGAACTAAAGCAAGCAAGAAGCCCCCAGAAGGTTTCACCGCGGCTGCGCGCGGCGCTCCCACACCGGCTGCAAGGCGGCTTGGCGCCCGGCTCCCCTCAGCGTCCCGCGCGCGGGCGGCCGCGGGCGACACGCTCCTCCTCGGCGCCGCCCCCGCGCGGCCCGGGCGCCTCCGTGTCCCCGCGCGCTCTCGCGAGAGCGTGGAGCGCAGCGGCGGCGGGATGGGGCCGT